TGAATGGATGCCATTCTATTTTAATTCATCAGCCCATGCTTGCTTGTGGCTAGAGACAACTACCCATAGATAATATATCTGTAATTTAAGATGTATACACTCACTCATACGGACACAGGGTGACATTGAAAATCACAAAAAAATTGCGTCATTAAACAAAGTGGCTATTTTGAGTGCAGATAACTTTAAAAAAGAAGGGATAACAGTTAATCTGATGCCATATTTGTGTAATATGATGGAATATAAGTTAGAATACCAAGTTTGACCTTGATAGCTATTACCAATCCCGAGTTATAAGCTTCCAAAGTTGGAGGAAATTGCATTTGCGTATCTTGGAGAGCCACGCCCCTTTTTTGGGGTGTCAATATCTCGGAAACTACAAAACCTATAACCCTAATTTTTTTTAAGTGTTGGTTTTTCACATAGTGGATCATTTTTATGGAGTTTCATCAAAATCTGAGAGGGTCATACTGGAACTTTTTTTAAATCTGGTTGATTTGACACGGAATGACCAAATTCTCAATATGTATGAGGTTTAGGGATTGGAGTTGTTTTGGTTACGTGAAAAAATCCTGCAACACTGTTATTACTGTACTGCTATTACTGTACTACTAATACTAGTAGGCTAGGCCTACTACTACTGTCTAGCAGCCTAGGCTAGGCTAGGACTAGCCTATAATAGCACTACTATACTGCAGTGGCAGTGCTACTGCTACTACTACTACTACTACTACTACTACTGTAACTAGGCCTAGGCCTACTAGTACTACTCTGGCCTAGGTTACTAAGCCTAAGGCTAGGCCTAGCCTACTGTAACACAAGGGATGTTTTCTAGCCTGCAGATTCTATGTATCACGGTATTATTCACTTAACAAATACATACTTACTAGAAGAAGGACTTAATGTTCTTTTTGTAGCCTTTAAGCTACGGTCTAAGCGAGCCTGGGTTACGCCCTCCCATAACACCAAAACACTAAAACCATCTTTGCTAAAACAACCATAACCATAACAACCCTGTAAACGTCACAAGTAAACGTGACGTCTTTCCTGAAATGGCTAGAGGGCGGCAAATAAATAATTCTGAATTTCATACAGCCTCGTTTATTCTCCACATATATTAAAATATAGTCCCTTGGAATATGAAGAACATCATTAACAATACATATCTTTTTAACTGTACAGAAAATGTATATGGATTATACTTACTAAAAGCTTGATACTTGATACTTAGCCTACAAGTTAGTGTTTAGCATATCTAGGCTACCCTTAATTAAGTTCACTGATAAATCGTATCAATAGGCCTATTATAACTAGGCCCTATTTTATTTTCCGCACAAGATGGTAAAATATTTACCATTTATAATAATTTTTTAAAGATTGATCGTCACTGGGATAACATACAAACAATTGGTGTTTCTCAGGGTTTGTATTTTAATAGGGAAATTGCGTCTGTCACAAATTATGAAAACAAGATAATCTTCAAGAAGAAGAGAGAAATTGTATAAAAAAAAGTGTACGTTGGAGCATGCTTAGTTTCACTAGAGGATCGGATGTATGCACAAAAAATGTAGACTTATTTCAGAGGGTCATTTAATAATATTGCCTGTGATAAAATCTACTTGATCTTGTTTGAAACACCAGAAAGGTCGATGATGGTTAATACAATTATTTCGTAAAATTTTATGAGTTTATTTACAAATGAATACTCTATGTTCATAATATAACCCAATGGCATCATAAAGAGAGTATTTATTGATCACACAATGCAAATAGCTTGCTGATGTCACAGAAGGCGTCAGACTGTTCCAGAGAACTGTTCTTTTAACGCTAAGCAAATAGAATTTATGCCCTATATACTGAGAAATTATTACAATAGGCCTACACTGAATATAGACACGCAAGGCTGAGTTGACTTTCGCGCCGTCGTCGTAGTACAAAACTACATTTACCTTGCATTTACTAACATTTACTTTTAATTTAAAATTAGAACAATTAAATATTTTCCTTACTGTATTGTATTTACATTCTTTGCCGAATGTTTGTGTCTGCAAATTAATAAGCTTGTGCCGTTTCGTATCATCATCATCGTCATCATCATCATCATCATCATCATCATTATCATCATCATCATCATCATCATTATCATCTTGATCATCATCACCATCATCATCAACATTCACATTGGCATTCCTGATAAATCTTCATATAATAACAACTGAGAAAGCAGGGCCGGCGGAACGTTTTTCAAAGTGGGGGCGGGGGAGCAATAGTAAAATGAATGACATAGTTAATGTCGAAATATTGAATCCTAACACGATGGCGTGTATTTCAATACTTGGAGTATGTATTATACTTTCTTATCTGAGATTAATCAGTGGACCTTTCGGTTTTTGAATGACAAGGTTTTCCCTCTTGAAAACAGTTCCATGAATCAATGAACCCCAAAGGGAAATGGGTTCCGGGTTTCCCCTGGGAAAATTTCGATTTCGAGATGGCGGAAATGAGCTTTCTGAAATGTCTTTTAATGACTTTTAAGTTCATCAAAATTCAAGGTTTTCCCCTTTTTGAAAACTGCCTGGTATAAAACTTTCTTTTTCTTATTACAGTGAAGGTGCACTACTAGTCCTGTCATGTACCGTATGTATGTATTTATACATAAAAGAAAATTGAGTAGTTGCATACATATTCTGTTTTCCACGAATCTATAAACCTAAAAGAAAAAAAGTGGGAGGTGGGTCCAGGGTCCTTCCACGAGAACATTTTGATTGTTAGGTGGCGTGAAATGAGCTTTTCCGATTCTGAGGTGTATTTTAATGCCATTTAAGTTCTCCCCTCTTAAAAATGTTTACCGTATATGAATCAATGAACTTAAATAGGAATATGGTTCGGGTTCTCCCCAAGAAAATGTTGATTTTTTAAATTTTCGGGAAATGAGCTTTCCCGACATATATGAAGTGTCTTTTAATTACTTTAATTTTCAGTTTTTTTAAATGTCAAGGTTTTGCCTTATGAAAACGGTCAGGTAAGTTTTCTCATTCTTATTACAGTAAATAGGTTTTATGTATGTAGCCTATACTGTACATAGGCCTACATAAAAAAACAAAATCAGTAGTTGCATACTATACGTTTTCCTTTTTCCATGAATCGGTAAATCCCAAAAATAAAGGGGATTCGTGTTCTCCCCTGGAAAAGTTGGATTCCAGATGGCGGAAAATGAGCTTTCCCTATTTCTGAGATGTCTTTTAATGACTTAAGTTCTTAAAAATTCAAGGTTTGTCCCCACCTTTCGCTGGCGACACCACTCTAAAACGACCAAATGAGCCTTTGAAACCCCTATTCAGTTTTCGGCTTCTCACCGGGGAGCGATTTTTTTTTCCGTACGAAACATTTACATGAAACTCCACTCGGGCCGTCTCGACTGAATCGACCCGAAAATCTCATATTGCAGAATTCAGGTCAAAAGGTCATCAACAACTTCTGATCTGAGAG